CCTGGGTTTTGGGGGTCCCCATTCCTCGTCCTGGGGGTCTCTGTCCCCTGGGTTTTGGGGGTCCCTGTCCCTCGTCCTGGAGGTCCCCATTCCCTGGGTTTTGGGGGTCCCCATCCCCGTCTCCATCTCCTGGGTTTTGGGGGTCCCCATTCCTCATCCTGGGGGTCCCTGTCCTCTGGGTGGGGGTCTCTGTCCCCTGGGTTTTGGGGGTGCTCATCCCCTGCATTTCGGAGGTCCCCAGGGTGGGCTTGGGTCCTCATCCCCCCCCAAGTCCCCAGTGTCCCCCGTGTCCTGCCCCGTGTTCCCCAGGGTCCCCCTTTGTGTCCGGGGTCTCCCTCCCCGTGTCCTGTCCCCAGGGGTCCCTGTCCCCCCCGGGGTCCCCCCGTGTCCTGCGCCGTGTTCCCCAGGGTCCCCCTTTGTGTCCGGGGTCTCCCTCCCCGTGTCCTGTCCCCAGGGGTCCCTGTCCCCCCCGGGGTCCCCCCGTGTCCTGCGCCGTGTTCCCCAGGGTCCCCCTTTGTGTCCGGGGTCTCCCTCCCCGTGTCCTGTCCCCAGGGGTCCCTGTCCCCCCCGGGGTCCCCCCGTGTCCTGCGCCGTGTTCCCCAGGGTCCCCCTTTGTGTCCGGGGTCTCCCTCCCCGTGTCCTGTCCCCAGGGGTCCCTGTCCCCCCCGGGGTCCCCCCGTGTCCTGCGCCGTGTTCCCCAGGGTCCCCCTTTGTGTCCGGGGTCTCCCTCCCCGTGTCCTGTCCCCAGGGGTCCCTGTCCCCCCCGGGGTCCCCCCGTGTCCTGCGCCGTGTTCCCCAGGGTCCCCCTTTGTGTCCGGGGTCTCCCTCCCCGTGTCCTGTCCCCAGGGGTCCCTGTCCCCCCCGGGGTCCCCCCGTGTCCTGCGCCGTGTTCCCCAGGGTCCCCCTTTGTGTCCGGGGTCTCCCTCCCCGTGTCCTGTCCCCAGGGGTCCCTGTCCCCCCCGGGGTCCCCCCGTGTCCTGCGCCGTGTTCCCCAGGGTCCCCCTTTGTGTCCGGGGTCTCCCTCCCCGTGTCCTGTCCCCAGGGGTCCCTGTCCCCCCCGGGGTCCCCCCGTGTCCTGCGCCGTGTTCCCCAGGGTCCCCCTT